GGACTTTCACTTCCAGCCTCCCTCCCACCCACCCACCTGCCATAACGCTCCGCATGCGCCAACGCTCTCCCTACGTCCCTTCTCCTCCTCCTTCCTTCGTCATTCTCTACTGCGGTGTTCGGATCGACCGTAGGGCGAGCCTGGGCGAGCCTGGTCCAGGGACTGCCTGTACTGGCTCACTGTCCCGTACATGAAGGGCTGCTGTCGGTACAGAAAGGTGACAGACAGCACGTACTCGCCCACGGCAACATTGACTGGACCGTCTGTCTGCACGGTTCACGACACCACACAGACTGTGCCCACGGCTCGTCTCTCCACTGTGCTCGCCCCACCCACCCACCCACCCACCCACCAGGAAAACCAAACTGTGGTGAGGCGATTCAGGTGCACGGAGCACCACATGAGCCAGCGTCTCCTCACCATGACTTCCGTCTCCCAGCAGGGCCACAGCCGTCCACACGACTCGAACCTCCACATCGTGACCTGCAAGCATCGGGACGTCAGAGACAGAGAGACAGAGACAGAAAGGCGGCAGCAGGACATGTACTTGCAATGCATGTCAGGCCTTTCATGAAAAGTACATGAAAGGCCATCCCTCCATCCCTCCCTCCCTCCATCCCTTCCTCCCACCCACCTGCCTCAAACATTTCTGGAGACTCGGGGCGGCGCCGGTAATCTACGCTTATTGCGAAGTCCCTCTGTGCTGGCGAAGTCCCATAGAAGAAAGCCATCCGAGCGCCAAAACGCTCGAGCCCTCCCTACGTCCCTCCTCTCCTCCCTCCTTTTCCACAAATTCTTCGTGCAAACCCGATCGGGTGCCAGCCGAGGAGAAGAAGCGCAATCGGGCCTGCACGAAAAATCCCTCCCAGCAAGGCAATGCATGTCAGCTCCCTCCCTCCCACCCACCCACCTACCCCAACGCTCCAAAACAAGCGCCAACGCTCTCCCTACATCCCTTCTCCTCCTCCTTCCTTCTTCATTCTCTACTGCGGCCTTCGGCGATCGCAAGGGCGAGCCTGCAGGGCGGGGCAAGCCTCGTCCAGGATTTCGCTAGGGTTTGTTACGGTTTTTCATATGAGACTAGCGAGAAGCCCACGCGCACAGCGCGTGAACGAGAGCAAACAAAAAGGAGATGGGGAGCGATTTCCCACTTGTCCAGTTTGTCTGGCCGCTTAGCAGGCGGCGGAGCGAGCAGGGCTCGGTCGCTGGCCACGTCGCGGCGGTGCAGGCGAGCGTCTGTTCCAAAGGAGAATCTCAAAAGACATGTTGAATCACATGTGAAATGGTATTAGTAAGGTTCAACATGCCCTGGTGGATACAGAGAGAGAGAGAGAGAGAGACAATCGATGTGTGCAGAGGGTGTGTGCAGAGGGTGTGTGGAATGCGCACACACACAGACACACACGCTCGGCTCGGCCCTTCGGGCCTCGCCTTCGCACCACACACACACACACACACAGAGAGAGAGAGAGAGAGAGGGAGACAACCGATGAGTGCAGAAGGCAAGTAGGTGTGTGTGGGGGTGTCCATCATGTGCTGCACATAGACACACACACCATGCCTTGGCTTGGCTCGGCTCGCCCCTTCGGGCCTCGCCTTCGTATCAACCACACACACACACACACACACAAATAGCGAGAGAGAGAGAGAGAGACAACCGATGAGTGCAGGGGGTGGATGGGGGTGTCCATACGATGCACACACATACACACACAGAGAACACACACAGACGAGGGAGGCCACGCTTAGGCTGGGCCCTTCGGGCCTCGGCTTCGCAAGAACGAATGGCACATACACACACAGACACACACACACACCATCGCATCATGTATTGGCTCCCATCTGCCCTGGTGTGTGAGGGCAAACCCCCCCACATCTGCCATGGTGTGTGAGGCCAAAAATCGATGGAGCCAATTGTGTTGTCCACCAAAGTGCCTCCAAAGTACCTCGAAGAGCATTCAAAAGTGATGGTCTCGACAATCGCCTTGAGCTTGTTAGTCTCTTTAGACGCCGGGTTGCAGAGCGGCTCGATCTTCTGCTTGGCTGCAGTGCAACATTCTCGAAGATGCCCGCCAATCGTCGTCCAGCAAGGGCAGAGACGTAGGCGGGGGCCCGTGAGGCGCCTGCCAGCAATAACCACACAAATCTCAGTTTGCAACACGCAATTCTTCGTGCAAACCCGATCGGGTGGGAGTCGAGGAAAAAGAAGCGCGATCGGGCTTGCAAGAAGAATCAAGGCAATGCATGTCAGGACTTTCACTTCCAACCTCCCTCCCTCCTGTCACAAATTGACATCACCACCATGAGCACCAGACGTGTGCCATCCGCCAGGGGTAGATGGATGCGTCGGTGAGTGTGAGGCATGGACCGAATGAGACATACGTGAATGAATCAATATCACCCGAGACACGGGGGATTTGTCCATCCACGCAGCAACCAAACAATCATCGTCATCTTTGATCGATGTGTCGGTGCTTGTCCGTCCGTCGGTGAACTATGAGCGCGTACATGCGCCGCAGTCATAGAAATATCCATGGTCACTCATTCCGTACGCAACGGGAGGGCTGAGTCTCAGCTAGAAAGTGAGACACCAGAGAGAGCTGCGCCAATGCGTGGGCATGAAGCCGACGAAACGAGTTGGGCTGAGAGGAGACGCGTCTCATCCTCATCAGGCCACCCGAGAGCGTTGCAGGAACGTTGCGAATGGGGGAAAAGATGCAGGCGGCATCAGTCCCAGCGCGAACGACATGACGGCCAGCCAAGATCCTCTCAAGGCCGCCGACCATGCGTCTCTGCGCATCACTTCATTACAACAGCAGACCAGACCACGGCTCAGAGGCGCTCCCTCCACTAGAGC